GCCGCCGTCCCATGGGAACGAGGGCCCAGCTCCTTGAGCTCTGCACGCCCACTCACCCATGCAACGAAGCATCCTGGGCTTTCTTCTGGTTGCTGGTGCTGAAGTCCACCAGTGAGTCCAGGTCAGGCCGGAGAAACATGTTCCGTAGCCAGGCCACGTAGCCCTTCAGGGCACCGGGACTCAGGGACCGCACGACTCTCCAGAATGTGGGCAGGACAGGGAGGCCCTGGTTGGTGATGCAGGTGAAGGCCACCACCACAGCCAACTGCCGCTCGGGGTCATCCCGGCAGCCTTCCAGGAAGGTTCCCACGTACTCGTTCATCTCCGGAGCAAACTTGAACTGGTTTGGGAGCTGAGAGAGGCCAACACCGGGGTCACCAGCCAAGAGTGTCCAATGGCCCCTCCGGCCTCTTCCCCAACAGGTGAGACTGAAGCGTGGCAAAGCCCCCTGCCTCGTCCACAGCCAGGCCGAGCCCCTCCCCCACCACGGCTCCCACCCTTCCACTGGGCATCACGGTGGGCTACCACCCATCCACTCCCACCCCAGGACAGGCTGGGTTCTAGGCTCAGGGAGACTCCGGGCTGGGCCATCAGCCCCCTTGACCAGCTCCTAGCTGTGTCACGTGGGGCTCAGCGCCCAACTCTTCCCAGGGGCGCACTGCGTGCCACGCACACCACGTGGCTTTGTGCGGCAGCAGGTTTCATCTTCACGACAACCCTTCACCCTGGACCCCTTCTGTCATCTTACAGATGAAAAAAAGATGGCAAACAAAAACTGGCCCCTGACTTTTCAGGGCCACAGGGTTCCAAGCGGTGCCTCTGGAACACGGAGCTGTTGGCATGGCCGCCCCGGCCCCGCTCCACCCAGAACACCCACACCCAGGAGCCCGCTGTGAGCGCTCCAGGGGCTCTGACCCTGTCATCTTCACAGAACCTCTGGCGAAGACGCCGGTCTCACGGAAGAGAGGCAGGCCTGGGGCCGGGGGGCAGCCTGGCTCCCAACCCTGAACTCCTAACCGGCACCTGATTCTCCTGTCCAGTGCATGGGGCCACGGACCAGGACGACTCTGCTCACCAGAACACACCGGCTGGGGGTGGGGGAGGGCTGGGCGGGCCGCTGGCCACACACGCCTCTGCTGAGGGGCCTGAGGCCAGAAGGACTGACCCTGCCAAACTCCACTCGGAGGGGAAGGGTGGGGGGGACCCAGAGGGAAGGGACACCCAGTTCCCCAGCAGGACCACCGAGGCAGGAAGACCCGGGGTGCTGCAGCCAAGAGCAAGCCTCTTCTCAAGAAGCTAGCTGACCCGAGAGGTAGCCTGTCCCTCCTGGCAGTGCTGGGGGGGGGGTACCCACCTTAGCGGTGACCGTGTGCTCCCCAAAGTGCCGGATCAGGTCCCCCTGCATCACCAGGGCCAGCTGCTCCTTGGACAGCAGAGGCAGCGCCGCGCCCAGCAGGCGGAAGCACAGGTAGCTGAGGGGTGCGTGGCAGAGGCTGGTCAGAGGCCTGGCCGTGCTGGGTGCACTCGGGGCCCGAGCCCGCCCCACCACCAAGCCAGGGAGGGGGGGCAGAGGGCCAGGGCCCTGCGCACCTGGCGGGCCAGAACTGCTTCTTCAGCAGCCCCTGCTCCACAACTTCCTTCCAGAACCGGGGGAACCTGCCCTCCTGCAGCGACAGGCGGAGCAGGTCCAGGGCCACGGCGGGCAGCTTGCGCTCCTTCTTCACAGAAGAAGCTGCTGTCTTCAGGACACTCACCAGTCTGGGGAGGGGGCAGAGGGGACTCAGGGGGCGTGGGCCAACCAGACAGCAGGGTCCCTGGGGGAGCCCATCCTCCCACCTCCCTCACACCTGGGGATGTTCTCATCTGAGAACAAGTTGACTGGTCCCATCAGCTCCTTGAGCTTCTCCGGCACCTTCTGCTGGGCCAAGAGGAAGAGCTCCAGGTGCTCAGGGGAGCCCAGCACTGAATTCAAGTCCGCCTTGAGGACTTTCGGCAGGATCGCCTGCAACGTGGCTTCTGGGACCTGGGGTGAGGACACAGGTTGGGGGAGGGTCGCTCCCTCCCAGCATCCTGTGCCACTTCCCCTGTGAAGTGAGCCCTGTGGGCCCTGTTCCACCTGCAAGGCTTCTGTGAGGCCCCGACACAGTGCCAGTCTGAGGCGGGACAGCCACCATCCACCCTGCTAGGCACCAGAATCATGAACAGGTGTTTGTTAAAAAGCTCACCCCACCTCCAGTCCTGGGAACTTGGATTTTTAGTAACTAGCCCACTGACGCTAATTAGCTACCCTTTTAATTATTCTTTTGGTTTTTTTAAGACTAGTTCATTTTCTTCTAAGATTTATTTATTAGAGAGAGCGACAGAGAGCGAGCATGAGCAGAGGAAGGAATAGAAAAAGAGGAAGAAACAGGCTCCCCACTGAGCAGGAAGCCTGACATGCGGCTCCATCCCAGGACCCTGAGCCGAAGGCAGATGCTTAACCACCTTAGCCACCCCGGTGCCCCAAGGGACTAGCTCATTTCTTATACAAGGTGCCCCAAGTGGAGAGCTGGGATTTGAATTCAGGTCCTTGCCTCTTCCTCAAGAGCAAAGGGTTCTAGGTACTAGCCCACCTCCATTTCCCAAGCAGGGCAGCGGGGCCCTGGGGGGTCAGCTCTGTCCAAAACAACAATGGCAAATGTGTTTTATATGCTTGCCACGTGACAGGTGCTATTCTAAAACTGTGCCGTCCACTATGGCAGCCGCTGAGTTCTTGGAATGTGCTAATCTCAGTGGAGGTGGGCCCTAAATACAAAATACACACTGGATTCCAGTGACTCGATGGGAGCACAACGTAAAAAAAACCTCTGCAAACTTTTACATCGATTGTGTGCTCAAACTTTACTTCAAGTATGTCAGGCTAAATACCTTCCTACAGAATGATGCTACTCTGGAGCATTTACGTCTTCCCTGCTCTCTCAGCATTTCTACCTGAAGCCCCACACTGGTAAGCCTGTACCTCAGAGAGGATGTCCACCAGGGCCTTCTGGGGCTGTTCCTGCAAGTGGTTGTAGTGCTGGGCCAGGGTCTGCAGCAGCTTTATTGACTTCATCAGTGCCTCTGAGTCCTGGTGCCCACAGAGGGAAGAAGATTATGAGCAGGGCATGCCACTGTCCCCCCCACTGCCAAGCCCAGCCACATACCCCCTGACCTCAAAGCTCTTACCTTCACTAGCCTGCCTGACTGAAAGAGGGCTAGCACCCCAAACAGGTTTGCAAAAAGAGCAGGTCTCATCATTGCCTAGGACAGAATTTCAGACATCAGTGAAAAGGGCCCAAAGAACCCCACCCTGGGGCTGCCAGTCTCCCTAAGGCCACTAACTCTCACCTTCTTAACTTTCTGCAGGTCATGCTTCTCTTGTATCTGCTGCAAGACGCTGCACAAAGGGATGTCTTCGAAACACTGTAACAGCTGCCAGGAGTTTGGAGCAGGAGGGCGAGAGGGGTTCAGTGCAGGGAGGTCCAGCCCCACACAGCAGACCTCCACCTCCTCCCAAGTCTCCCTTCAACTTCTGCCCAGAGGCCCTGGGTGCCTCTGAAACTGCTCAGCCCCTGAACGGTGCCGGTGTGTGAACACCGCTGCTCAGAGGGAGCTCAGTCTTGCCTCCTGCCTCAGGCCCACGCAGGCTTCGGAGTACCTCCTTTGGCTGACACTCCCACTCTACCTGCACGGCCTGCCCTGGGCTGCCCCCAAGGGGGTTCCTAAGGGACTGGGTCCTGAATGCCCTCCCAGCTGCCCACGAGCCTCAGGGGCAGCCTACAACCCGCGGAGTGCCCCTGGAGGGCAGAGAGCCCTGGACCCTGCAAAGGCGAGGTAACCCACCCCAGAGCTCACTACGCCCAGTAGATGCGCCACGGACACTGGGCGACCCACGTGCCCAAAGAGAAAACGTGCTCAGCCTCCTGGCCCACCTGCTTCTCCGCAGACAGGCCTTGCTCAGACACTTCCGCGCCTCCACGGGGGGCGCCGAGCCTCAGCCAGAGGCCGCCCCGACCACCGCCCCGACCACCGCCTTCGCTCGCAGCTGAGAGGCCGCCCTCCCCGCTCCCCCGCTCCGCGCAGCACGGCTGGGCCCCTTCCCGGAGCCGCCCCCTCACCTGCGCCAGGGCCAGACTGTAGCAGGGCCGGGCGGTTTCTCGCCCGACCCCGAGCCCGGAGATCAGGCGCTTCAGGGCGTACTTCATCTCGGAGCCCTGCCGAGCCAAGCAGTGAGAACGGCCGTCCCGCACGGGCCCACCGCCGCCCCGAGCGCGCTCCCCCAGCCTCCCGGGCCGCCGCCGCTCTCCC